AGAAAACTAGCCATTGTCATCGAAAATGCCAAGACAATATCGCAAGACAAATGCTTGCGTGCAGTCGCAGACATTATCTTGGGATCCAATATTCAATATTGCACCCGATTAAGTGGCGGGCGGGTATGCATGTACCTAACCAATGAAGAACATGTCAACACAATCTGCCAAGGAGGTGGAGTTATCATCGACGAAGAATTTCTACCTGTCAGAAGATACGTCACTGAAGCCACCAAATTTACCATCTCCAATTGCCCCCCAGAGTACCCTGATGAAGAATTAAAGAAGTTATTGGAGCCTTATGGAAAAATTGTTTCCGAACCTTCCAGACTAAAGGTAAACACAGGCCATGACGATCTCAAACATGTAAAATCCTGGCGTCGCTCTATCTATATTATGATCCCAAGTGAATACAATGACCCGCCAAAGAAAATACCAATGGTGAACAGTGATGGCAGCAAATTCCTTCTCTATGTGGAAAGAGATGAATTGGTGTGCGCACACTGTCATGCCCCAGGACACACCATAGATAAATGCAAGAAGCGTGAAATAGACAATATAAATTTCCCACTCATCCGACCAGCAGCAGCTGCAAGACTTTTCAACACAAGAAAGCCAACTCAACCTAACTCCGGCCCACCTCAAGATCCCCAACCAAGAGAAGCAGCAGACTTCATGCCCACTTTTTCTGCACAGCCCAGCAATCAACAATCAACCACTCAAGATAAACCTCAACAACAAGCAAGCATTTGGGGAGATATTTTATACCCCCAAATCTCATCAAAGCCAAACCCCACAGAAGAGAGAAGACAAGAAGAAGATAATACGTCCTCGGAAAATATTGTACCTTCGCCAGCAGTCACAACTCAAACACAAATATCACCCTTTGATGTGTCAATAGGGAGCTCAAATGATGAACAAGACTTCCGTGGTTTTGAGCAAAGTCAACAAATTTCTGTAACTTTAGACTCTCTGCGGGTTGAAGTTATGGAAACAGACCCAAGCACCAGTAAGATGTCAGCCAAGAGAGTGCACTCCCCAATGAATGAAGATGAATATGATGACTCTAGCAGTGGAGCAGACCAAGCAGGAAAACCAGATAGGAAAAAAGTCAAGAAAGCAAAGGAGCAATTAGCAGTCAACCAATTATTGAGCAACATGAAGGAACAACCATCTTATCTCAGCCAAGAAGATTTCCGATCCTTCTTGTCAGAGTGCAGAGGAAAAGTAAATACATTGAAAGTTGCGGCAAAATACACTACTAACACTAGCGCATTAATAGTTCAACTAAATGATGCAGCTAATATTTGTCAAGATTTCAATCTAGAAAGAAGAATCAAACGTGCAGTTGATGCACTAGTTACCAAGTAATCAAGATCAACAAAAATGTTATTTTAATTAAATTTTTTTTTTTCTCTTAATTAATTCATTCAAAATGCTATCCCTTCTGTCACTCAATGTCAAAGGATTAGTGAGTGCTCATAAACAAGTTAGCCTTCAAGATTTTTGTCAACATACTTCAAGCAATATTTTACTACTTCAAGAAACAAATTTGAAAGAAGACACAAATATGGCAAACTTACAAAAGTTCAAATTTTTAATTAACCCTCCAGTGCAGTCAAATTCTGGAGTGGCTATTGCCATAGCACAAGAATATTTTCAACAAGTAGACTTAATTTCTCATACCATACTTTTAGAGGGTTACTTGCAAGCAGCCCACATAAAGAAAAATCAAGAAGACCACCACCTCATAAATGTCTACATGCCACACAACAAGGAGAAAACAGACCAGCTGATCACCCAACTTGAAAACCATTTATCAAAAATCAATGATGCATCTTGCATTATTATTGGAGGTGACTGGAATGTAACACTCCATGAACAAGATAGAAGAAATTGTTCGGAAATAAGAAGAGCATTGGCCAATCAACTACAAATTCTCCTAATACATCATGACCTCACTGATGTATGGAGAAACTTCAATGGAAACAAAACCCAATTCACCTACAGAGGATTGCAGCACAACCATCCAATGGCAAGACTGGACAGGATTTATATCAAGAAGAAAGACTTACATCTTGTTAACAACACCCAAATAATCCCGTCGTTTTCAGATCATGCTGGAGTAACCTTAAAATTATTCACCACTGGAGAACAGTATCAACCACCTTACTGGAAATTTGACATAACCCTTCTAAAATGTAAACAGTTCCAAAAAATTGTTGAAAATATAATAGTTTTTTATGAAGAAAAATCTCAACAAGAAAACAGTGACATTACAGTCATCTGGGACCAATTGAAAGAAGAATTGTGTGCCGCTTCCAAAAGACACATCAAAGTTCTAAGAAGCCAAGTTCAAGAAAAAATTGATCTTCTACAAACACAGATAGATTACATTGATACCAAACTTTTTCTGTCGCCAACTGATGCACAGATTGCAATCCATTTTCAATCTGACATCTACAAAATGTACAAAGACAGATCCAAAGAAAAACTTTTCATTTTCTTGAAGCTCAATTATGCAAAGAAGCAAATACTCAGTCAAAATTCTTCTTAAGGATGGCAAAACAAGCCAAACCTTCAACTACAATCTCCCAGCTGGAAATAAATGGCCAAGTTGTGACAGATAAGAAGACAATCTTCTCAAAGGTTCGAGAAAGTTTCTCAAACTCTTTTGATGATCAAGATCTGAACCCAATAAATTCCGAGAGCCCACTCTACCAGAAATTATCAAAACTTTCTGAAAATGAAAAACAATCTTGTGAAGAACCAATTTCTACAGAAGAAATCTACAACTCTATCAAGGATGCTCAACCCAATCGAGCACCTGGATTAGATGGGATCCCAGTAGAATTCTACAAATTTTTCTGGACACAACTGAAAACTTTATTTCATAAAGTGGTGCAAAACTTCCAGCAAACTGGAGCTCTACCAAAGTCCATGAAAAAAGTTGTAATCACCCCTGTACCAAAAAAGGGAAGCAGGCTCCACCTCAAAAACTGGAGACCAATATCCCTTATGAATACTGATTATAAAATAATCTCAAGAATTTTCAGCAAAAGAATCTCTCAAGTTATCTCAACACTACTTCAATCCGATCAGAGCTACTGCGTACCAAGAAGAACTATTTACCAAAATCTTCATACAATTAGAAACATCATCCATCACTCCAACACTGAGCAAACAGAACTAGCTGTTCTCTCTCTTGACCAGAAAGCAGCCTTCAATCAAGTTTCCCACAATTACCTTCATCATCTCCTCGAGAAGCAAGGGTTTGGAGCGAAGTTCTGCAGCAACATCAAAGCACTTCTAACAGATTCCATAGGATACATCAAGATAGGCTCCTCACTTCTTGCTCCCTTCGAATTCAAGAAAGGTTTTAAACAAGGTGACCCCATTGCAGGGCCACTGTATGCCATTTCAATTGAGCCATTTCTTATAATGACAAACAGCCTCATCAACCTGCAAGGATACAAAATACCAAGAACCAACATCTCCATCAAAAGTACTTCCTTTGCTGATGATATCACCTTCTTCATCACACGCAATCAAGATTTCAATGAAATCACAGAAGCCTTCAACATCTATAGTCAACAATCTGGAGCAGTACTAAACCAAGAAAAATCACAAGGTCTTTTCTGTGGAAAATGGAAAAACCGCTCTGAAACTCCCCTAAATTGTCACTGGAACTCCCAAGGAATGAAATTTTTGGGTGTGTACATTGGAAATGAAAAACAATGGGAAGACAAAAACTGGGAATGTCTGCTATCAAAATACAAAGCTTGCCTCAACAAGTGGTCCCAGTTCGTCAAAATGACATCCTACAATGGAAGAAAAATAGTTTGTAACCAATTAGCGGGAGCCCAACTCATACATACTCTCAACGTTTTGGAACCACCAAAAGAATTTATTGATGAAGTCCATAAAATATCAATCAATTTTGTATGGCAAGGAAAACATTGGTTGCATCACAACTTTGTCTTCGCCCCAATGGAGTTGGGTGGAGTGGGACTCACCAACTTTCAAGCCAGGACCCACTCTCTACGCCTCAAGCTAGCTTATGACATCCAACAAAATCTGTTGAGCCAGGAGCCAACTTATCTGTTTCACCAATACAACCTGTCCCGCTATGGTGAAATTCCTCCACAGCATTTCTTCAACCAGAAATTCGACCCAATTGCAAGAGCCAATCTCTCACCATTCTATCATAGCTTATTAACAGCATGGCTCAACTTAAAGCCAAAAATAGTCCATTCTTCACTTTCCCCTCAAATCTTGGCCACCACCCCACTCCAGGGAAGTGCCATAATTTCAGAAGAACAATTGAAAATACTTCCAGACTGGAAATATTTTAACTTCAACAATCTGCAACAACTCATGCCAAATGGGATTTGGATAATGCCTCCTGTGGACCAATTACCAAGCCCAGCCCAAAGAAGACTCAACAGAAATTTTCAAGAAATTAAAAACTTCTTCAACAAAAAATTTCAAGAGCAACAAGAGTCCCAAGATTCAATCACCCAATACAAGATCAGCGAAGAAGACAAAATCTTTTCATCATCCAAGAAGCAAAACTACATCCAATCCCTCAAAATTCTGCTTACCAAGCCTGAAGTCAGTGGCTCAACACCTTGGACAGAGAAACAGATCCCATGGATCTCCATCTACTCTCAACCCACTGACAAAAGGGATGGGGACATCTCTTGGAGATTACTCCACAATGCCCTACCAACGCCAAAGAAGTTTTATGATTGGAAAATAATACCTTCTCCAAAGTGTCCTTGGTGCCCCAATCAGGAAGGCAATTGTGCTCACATGTTTTTCAACTGCCCAATCACAATCCCCATCTGGACTTTGTATCCTCAAAAACCAAGAGCATAAATCAGGGAAAAAAATTAGACTACCAACAAGCCCTTGCTGGATTTCCCTCTACAACTGCAGCTTCAAGATACGCAAATTTCCTCGTAAACTTGGCAAAGAGCACAATTTATAGGACCTACATGACCCTCATCAAGAAATCAAACCCTCCTCAACCAAACTATCTTATGCTCTTCAAAAGAAGATTGCAGCACAGATTGGCAATTGAAGAAAGCTACGCCAATCTAACCAACACCACTTTGAATTTCCACCAAACCTTTCAAATCAACTGAAACCCCAAGATGAACAAAAACAGAAACAAAAAGAAGATCCTACAAGCAACCAAGAATACTTGCAAAAAAAAGAAAAAAGAAAAAAAAAAAAAAAAAAACATGAACTTTTAAAACTTTTTTCAATTGAATTATTCTTCAAAAATAAATTATATTTCCATATTTTTATCTAGATATGTAACTTAAATTTAAAAAATATCACAAAATTGTACAAACCGCACCACAAACATCTGAAATAAAAAATAACATGAACACCGCATGCACAATTTGTTGCCAAAAATTTAACTCATTCCTGGCCCTAATTGTAAATTAAATCCCCCCAATAAATACTTGTAAAAACTAAAAACTCTCTCTCTCTCTCTCTCTCTCTCTCTCCGTCAGCCCGTGGCGTCTCCTCTCCGATCTCTTCGCATTTCGTCGACATTTCGCGTGCGGCCGGAGAAAAAATAACATTCCATCGGCTGGCGGGAGGAATCCTGCAAAAAGGCTGGGAAAAGGGAGCTGAGAGCTTTCAATCATCAGGCCGGGCCGTGCGGCCCCGCGCGCCCTCTAGCGGCCGCGACCAGAAACTTATTTCTTTTCCGACGTCGCGCAGCAAGGCTGCAGCGAAAGAGCAAATCGGGGCGGTAATTATTGGTTGCTGACTTGGAGCGCACAGTGGGCCAGAAGACCGGTGGAGGCGGCCGAAACGCTAGACGCGTATTGGGCTCCAGAGTCGCCAAATGGGACTCGAACCGAGCGTGTGACCCCACCAATGGATTCCTCGTTTAGAGAGCAACCCATTGGTGGGGTCACTCGTTCGGTTCGAGTCCGATTTAGCAACCCTGGAGCTCAAAACGCGTCTGGGATTTTGTCCGCCTCCGCCGGTCTTCTGGCCCACTTTGGAGCGGCGCGCAGTCGTACAGGAAATAAGGTGCATTCCTGCGGATTTTTCAATTCGATTTCGCCCTTCTCTCCCTCATTTTCTCCCTGTTTCGCGTTCTTTTTTTTCTTCTTCCCCTCCTTTTTTCCCCTTCGGTCTTACTTGTATTTGTTATTTCGTCTCCCCTGTTATGTAATTGAATGGAACGAAGCGTTGTGCCGCCAGTGCAGGCCACTGGTGCTGCGGACCGAACGGGCGTCGCTCTGTCTCTCTCGCACTCGTGGGGCGTCCCGTACGGCCCGTACGGGTGCGTGAGAGACAGAGCGACGACACTCGGAGTCAGTCTGCCGGGAGGGACGGCAGGGGAGGAAGGTCAGTAAATTAAGTTTTATTAATCAGCCGCCCACTGCAGGCGATCGCCATGGTGAGGACATCCCGGAGTGACGCGGGGGGGAGCCGAGCCTCGAGCCGAGCCGACCAGCAGGGCAGGCAGGGGAGTGGGAGGTCAAGCCATGTGATGGATGTGCCGGGGACACGTTCGCCGCATCATGCGCTCTCCTCTCTCTCTCTCTCTCTCTCTCTCTCTCTCTCTCTCTTCTCCGCCCTACGCACACCCTGTCTGCTCCTCCTCCCCTCCCACTACTTCGTTGCAGCGGGGATCAACTCTTGGCCGTGACAAGAGCAGGGACACATTGAAGGCCGTCGGTGCTTGTTTCTGGAGACAGCCACAGAGAGAGAGAGAGAGAGAGAGAGAGAGAGAGAGCGACGTGTTGACAGGCGGCATCACGGCGTGAAGGGCCATAGACCATGCAGAACGTGTGCCTCTAATTCTTGGCCGCTAAATGTCGCGTTCCGCCGTCACACGTGGTCACACACACACACACACACACACACACACACACACACACACACACACAACACACACGACGTGCGCAAAGTGTGTTTCTTTGTGGCACGTAGCACGCCTGTGTGGGCACGTTTTTACATTTCTGTTACCTGTCTTTCTGCACGCCCCTGCCTCTGTATGTGTGTGCGCGTGTGTGTGTGTGTGGTTGTGTGTGTGTGTGTGTGTGTGTGTGTGTTGAGTACCTGTGCTGCCGTGATACGTTTTTACGAGAGCGAATACCACCGGCGGAGTGGCGTTATATGCGTTCTCTCCATGCTGTCCCTCTCGCTTCCCGGAATGCGCTACAAATTTCGGTTTTGTTTTTGTTCATTTTTTTTAATCCTGTTGTGCGAAATTTGGTCTGTTTTCTGTGGGGAAATTTAATCCGAGCAAAGGCCAGCAAGTTGGTACCGCAATGCAGGATGAGCTCATTCATAGTTTACTAATGTTTTTCTGATTGCCTTCACTGTGGAAACACACACACACACACTCACTCACACACACACACACACACACACACACACACACTCGGGCACACGCCCAGACCGTCTGGCCACTCATACAATGACAGTCAAAATGTCAGCTGTGCTTAAAGAGGAAGCAGGAAAGGTCAACTCTAACTGCCCGTCGGCTGCAGTGCGAGCAAGAGAGAGAGAGAGAGAGCCACCACCGGGGGAGGGCTGCAGGGGGGAATCGAGTTTTGCTTTCGATTCGAATCACTTTGGAATCGAATGACGTTCCGACCCGCAGCAGCGCGCGCGGGCGCGAAACGAGAGAGAGAGAGAGAGAGAGAGAGAGAGAGAGAGAGAGAGAGAGAGAGAGAGAGAGAGAGAGAGAACGCAGGAAACTGGAAAAAAGAAAGCGAATGAAGATGAGATTTTGGCCAGTGGCCAACCTGAGCTACTTTGAGTGCGCCTCCTTTTTTTACGGTGGTGACCCACTGTGCCAGCCCGCCGTAATGACTTGTAAACAAAACAGCACTGTGCACTGCAAAATAAGAGAAAGGAACAAAAAAGAAAACAGTGCATCGGCTTGCATGCATGGGGTGGATTCGCACTGGAACGGGAACGCACCAATTTGGGTGCAAAATGTCGTTTTCCCGCCCGAAATTCGCTGACTGGTCTGCAGGCACGTGGGCACGGACTGCCGTATGTCACCGTGGCGTCCAGATGTCCGGCCTGGCAGTGGCGTGGAACAGCTACTCGCACAAAGGGTACAAACAACCCCCTCTCGCATGGACAGCCTTTATGGCCTGTGTATTGCTCGTTTCTAGCCATTGGGGACCCGCTTATGAACTGGGTATTATAAACTGACGATTTCAATTCTGCCCGGTGGTGGCCACCAGCACCGGGTCCACCCGCACACGCACACACACACATACATACAGACACACACGAGCATACAGACAAATGTTTATTCTTCAGACTATTAATTTGGGCTCCGCGCTGCGCCCTTAATGACTCATTTAGGTGGCCTCGCCCATCCGCCCCCCGCCCCCCGCAACTGCTTCGAGTGCGACAAGGACGGAGCAACTGCCGCGCGGAGAGCCCCAAGTTGAGAGGTTTCTCCAGTGGACAAGCGCGTGGCGGTGGCGTGCGCGACCAAAGTGTAGAGAGAACGCGTAATCCGGTATCTTTTATTGCATCAGGACATGGAAAATATGAGACGGTACGGCGTCCGCACTATTTCAAACTCGCTCCGTCTCTCTCGCTCTCGCGGCATTCTAATGAGGAGCGACGAAGACGGCGCCACTCTCTTTGGGCGAACTCAGGTGCGTGGCCGACCATTAACCCCAGTCCTCCAATTTTCCACCCCGCCCCACCTCACCCCACCCCACCAGTGCCCCTCCTCCTCCCTATTCTTCTTCTGCATCATTCTCCCCTCCATGCTACTAAATATGCCACAAACTTCTGTTACATCAGCTGACCGCTTCCTGCAGTCCGAGAGGGCCGTCGCTCTGTCTCTCTCGCACCTCCACGGCACGCCCCATGAGTGCGAGAGAGACAGCGGCGACTCTCTGAACCAGCCTGCTATGCAGACCACCCCCTTTTTTAGGGGTGGGGCTCATGATCATGTTGGTTTCGTTATCAGCTTCATTATAAACAGAAAACAAAAAGGAGCAAACGAGGACATCTTCCCTTATCCTTTTCCAGCGTGGCGGCGCCCTGTCCAGCGCTCCCTGGAGGACACTGGAGCCGTCCAATAAGTCTCGCATAGCGTGATGGTGTTTAAAAAGGGGCCGGCCGCGGGGCTTTTACTAAAGCCAGGTGACTTTTTTCTACCCTTCTTTATTAAAAAAAACACACACACACACACACACACACACACACACAAACACACTCACACACCTACACACAGGCGCACACACACACACACACAGCAAACCTAGGTCGTTGTGTGAGTGTGCGCGGACCATACAAGATGGGGAGGGCTTAGAAAGGGGCCAAGGGAGAGAATGCGCTACTAGTGTTTCTGAACTCGACCCTCACCTCGTATAACCGAGTCGTTCCCCTTTTGAAGCACGTCCCTCACGTCCCAACTATTGTCGTCTCGTTTTTTTTCTCTCTCTCTCTCTCTCTCTCCTCAGGTGGAGCAACGCTCGGGCGACGCCCCGGCGCCCCCTTTTTACTAGACTAGATATCCCTTCTTGCTGACTTGGCCTCTTTCTGCGCTAAGTGGGTGGGGCTGCCCGGCACCTTCTAGTGTCATTTCTCGCCCCCATTACCCCTCGTTCCGCTTCATGGTCCCCCCACCCCCTTGCCTGGCCCCGCCCAGGTGCGACGACTCCGGGGGACTCAGTCCTTCCCTGCGACGAATCGGGCCGAGAATGGAAATCAACTTGGCGACTCCCCCGGCTTCTCGCTGGACGCAGCCTCGCACAGTGGGCCGGAAGACCGGCGCGGGGGGACAAAAATTCTAGACGCGTTTTGCGCTCCAGAGTCGCTGAATGGGACTCGAACCGAACGTGTGGCCCCACCCTTGGGTTGCTCTCCGAACGAGGAATCCATTCGTGGGGTCACACGTTCGGTTCGAGTCCCGGTTGGCGCCCCTGGAGCTCAAAGCGCGTCGAGAGCTTTGGCTAGAGTTTTGGCCGCCTCCACCGGTCTGTCTCCACCGGTCCACTGTGCCTCGCTCTACAAGGAAAACACGTTCAGCCCCCACGCCCCGATTTTATTTTTTTAG